TTTGAAAAGAATTATAATTGATTTTTAAAAGAATTTCAAACTGAGATTTTCATTTTTTTATAAAATGGTAAAAAACTGGTTGACATGATTGATTATCTGTCAATTTTTATGACTAAAAAAAAAACAAGATTTTTAACGAAAATTTAGGAACGATTAAAAAATGTAAAAAATACCCCCAAAATACTCTGATCTTTCCTCTTAATAATAACATAAACATTTAGCCGATAAAGTTTTTGTTTTCGTCAAGTTTGGTGTCTTTTTCGCCATGTTATGCTCTTTTTTAGCGATCTCATAGAAGTACCTACCAAAATATATTTATACCCAAAATAAGTTACAGACTCAAATATAAAATATAAACACTTTTCTGTTTCTGTAGCAGGTAAATGTTTACAAACTCAAATATATACGCCCAAAATTAATCTATTCCCGAAGTAAATAAATGCTTACAATCTCAAATATATACGAGCGAAATTAATCTATTCCCAAAGAGAATAAGTATTTACAGACTCCAGTATGAACGATCAACATTTATCTATTTCCGGAAAAGTAAGTGTTTACAGACCCAAATATAATCGACCAATATTTATCTATCGAAGCAAGTATGTCATTACAGCCTCATATATATATATATATATATATATATATATATATATATATATATATATATATATATATAATTGATTTAAAATATATTTTTTCGTTACACAGTTCTAACCATGTTTCAAAAATGGAAGCTAATTAAATCCGGGGCTTTTAGCGTCCATTTTTGAAACATGGTTAGAACTGTGTAGCGAAAAAAAATCGTATTTTATATCAATTGATTTATAATATTAATGCTCTGTAAATTTACATTGAGCACTATTTTGTAAAAATAAAAATATCTATAAGAACACCGGATTATATATCTTGCTGTTCTTTCTTTTTATTTATATACATACATACATATGTATATATATATATATATATGTGTGTGTGTGTGTGTGTGTGTGTGTGTGTGTGTGTGTGTGTGTGTGTGTGTGTGTGTGTGTGTGAAAAGTGTGTGTATATAAATATAAATAAATATAAGTATGTATAATTATTTATATATTATATGCGCGGTACTTATTAGAAAGCGGTCAATATCAGAGATAGAGCTAACATATTTGGTTGGATAGATGTGAGTTTGTGACCCTGGGTTTCACGCTTTAGCGATCGTCAGACAAACTGATTAATGTTTTAAAAAATTTGGGTTTATGTAGATTGCGTGTATTGGTCTTATTGTGGAAGTGGTGGGGGAAATTTCGTCGTTTTGTCATTCATCGTACTAACGCAAACATCGATATATGCAGACACATATACATACTTGGTCGTCCGTCGGGTCTCATACATATATAAACATATGTGGGCAGTTTCTGATATGACATATGTATGTATACGGGTGGTGTTGTGTCTATACATACGCATTTGTATGTTGAAATTCAAAGATTGGAAGTGTAGCGAAAGTTTCTCGTGAATGTATACATGTCATATTTTTTATTTTCCTCGCATGTATGTATATACGTGTGGTGGGGTTTGTGTAAAATTATGATAGGCAAAAATTATTCTTATATATATTTATTTTAAATTTTTGAAAAAAAGGGGGTTTATTTGTTTTATTTAAAGCTGGTTATTTGTTTGTTCTGTGTATATGTAACAGGCAGAAATTTCGGTTTGTAATCCTTATTGGTTATTTTATATGGTGATATTTAATATTTAATATACTGGGTGAGAGGGTAGTTTCTGTTAATAATTAAAGCGGGTCTATATGATATGATGTGATAGTAATGTTGCAAGGGATTGGAGACAATGATAATATAATTAGCTAATAGTTATTGTAAATTGGTAGAACTGATTAGAAATATGTCGATATATATATATATATATATATATATATATATATATATATATATATATATATAGATATATAGATAGATATGCGGAAAATATCGACATATTTCTAGCCTAATATATAAACAAACTGTATTTACATATATACCAAATTAATTCTTACTGGGTCAAATTTAAACGACCGATATTTTACAGTAAAAAAAAACCCCTCCTGTCTTTATTTTAAAACTCAGTGCTTATTTCTCTGTCTCTGGTGGAAGTTTCAAATAAAATTACAATTGATTAATTTCCCCAGGGACTTCTCGCACTGAAATCATATTTAATGCTTTAAAAGTATGTTATTGAGATCCCTTGAGATTAAACACAGGGGCCTTAACTAAACCTTTAAATATATCCATTAACCTTTTTTACAAGACACGCCTTGCATTTATGAAGTCCTGCCTAAGGGAATAAGTACAGAAAATATTTTTGACACTGGATAATTAAAAGGTTGATCGTAGATTAACTTAATCGAAATGCTTATCGTCTAAATTTTTTCTCATGTGAATCATTTTGTAGCGCTGTTTGTTAGGCGTTCGGGAAGTAATTACGTCTTTACAGAAAGGATATAAAAACAAATTTAAGCTTGGTCCCCGCTTTTTTAGAAATCCTCTTTTAGACCCTACCGGAGTGACATGGTGTAATCGATTTTTATTTTTCCTCAGATTATATCATTTGCAATGTTGTGCACTAATATGAATCTATTTTCGAGGTGTATGATGAAATTTGTTTGGCTTTGAAAAATATTGCGTTATCCGTGATTTTCAGATTTTTATCACTCCAAGACACTATTGTCTCGACTGTCGATTAGTTGTCCTACGGCAATTGTCCGCGTTGGGCGTTGCTCCAAGGAAACACACTGATAAGCCTTATCATTGAGCAAATCAAAGTATAGACTAGCTTGGAAACTCACCTGATTTAAATACACTCAAGAATCTGTGATGAATTTGCAAGGAAAGACTTTGTTGAATGGACATACGATGTGCTAACACGTGCACAGGGTCATGTTTCACTGGAAAATACGAAAAAAAAAAGTAAATAATGATGATATTTGTTTTGTTTCAATTAATTTGCACATCCTTCAAATCTATAAATCAGTCATTCGCCCTTGCATAGAATATTGCTGTCCTATATGGTCATAGGGTCCTTAACCAAATCTAGAGACGGATATGCAATGTGGTTGGTCCTCATCTGGCATCTCGTTTACAGTCGATCTCTCACAGTCGTTCCGTCGCCTCAATCTATCTTTTCTATAAATACTCGGTAACTGCTCCGGCGAGCTATTTTCGCTAGTTCTCACACTGCATGAATTTGAAAGTGCCATTTCACCATTTCACTGTCGAAACAGTTAAATGAGCTGTCTCTTCTATTCCAATAGCTTCATGTCTCGCACTTCCTGTCTGTGGAACTCCCTTCCTCTTACTTGCTTCCCTGATAGCTATAATCTCCAGCTATTCAAATGCAATGCCAACCGATATCTCCAGTTGCCTTGATCTATTCCCCGTCATTTTCTTCATCCTTTCCTTTCTTTGCTTGCTAGTGTCATTTGCTTGGGGTGAAAAGTTTAAAAACAAAACAAACAAAAAAACAAGGGACAAGTTCCAGCCTTTAAGAACTCAGGTGATCTTTCTAACCATTGCTCTATTTGCCCCCTACCTTTTTTTGGCACCGTATGAGAAGCTCTAAGCAACTCTGAATTAATTAAGCATAGAGGCTTCTTTCAGGTAAGGAATATGACTTTCACTTCTCTAGGTCAACTGCTGATCTACTAACGATTATTGCTGAAGGAGGCTATCATGCTTTAGATAAGTGTTGTAGAGTAGTTTCACAGTGGCGGCTTGTATTTCAGTAAGTCGGTCCTAAAATAGGTTCGACGTACAAAACGTTAGGAACTTGATATAATAGGTAATGACGCAGAGAAATCTAGTGGTGGTCGCTGATACTTTAGTATCCGACTAACGGTCGTCCAACATCGACTGACTCACCAACTCTCTGAGCGACTTAGCGACTGCTACTACTCCTACTTATTATAGGTGGGAGAGTCTATTAACAATGGAATAGGTGTGTTCCACTATAACAATAGGAATGGTGAAGCTCGATCTGTAGGATATCTCGAAGACATTTGACAGGGTTTAGCATACTCGTCTTCTTCAGAAATTGAAAAGTTATGGTATTTCTGGGGAAATCTTTGAACTGATTCAATCTTTCTTATTAAATAGTGAAATGAAGGTTGTCTTGAATGGCTACTCTTCTAGATCTGTTTGAATTAATGCAGGCGTTCCTCATTGGACCTACGTTGTTCCGAATTTTCATGAATGACCTTCCTGGTGTCACCATTTCTCAACTCCGTAACTATACTGATGGCACAACTATTTAATCCTGTCTTAATTGTAAGTCAGATCAGCTCTATGAGGCCAAATTGACAGCGAGTGAAAAATGACCTACATTCTGTTGTTAACTGGGTCAGGAGTGTCTTGTTAATTTGAACGCCTCCAAAACGAAACTGCGCACTATTAGTTGTCTGACAGAACCCTACACGCAAGAAGCTAGTGGCCCGCTGGCGGGCCGACGATAGCAACGTCAGCAGTCCTCTGATGGAAGCTATCGGCAGGCCTATTTTGAAGGGACCGCTTACAGGTGCTACCACTTCAGATCAGAGTGAACCTGGGAACAACAGCAGTTTAGAAGTGGTTCAACGCTCCTAAAAAAACAGTCTCCTGATCAGAGGCCTTGCTGCCGGATGTAGTTTATCGTCATACCCAGGAATCATTGTCTATAGAAAATACAGCAATGCAAAGTCTAACTATTGACCTGACCTTACGCCAACAGCTTATTACCTTATTCAGTGGCTGCAAAACGTTTTGATGGTGGAAATCTTTTTTTTTTAATTAGAAGCAGATTCAAGATCCAAATCTGCATAATTTTACTCAAAAGCTATGGAAGACCTACCCGATAAGTAGCAACAAGCAACTTTTAATAATTGTGAATATCTAACTAAATAAAATGTAATGGTACTTTGTTGTTTTTGAAGAACAAAAACGGAAATTGTTTGTGACTGAAACTTATAAAAATATAGTGTGTTCTATACACGAGGG